GCCATGACATGCGTATATATAAGAATAAGGGAAAGTGATTTCATGATGGAAATAAGTTGCAGTGCCCGTGACATGCGTATATATATTGTCATAGGAATAATCCTGTGATTGGTCCATCACAGGGAATATATTCACATAGAAATTTTCATGTGACAAATAAATTTGCAGGACTTATATAAAGGTTGCAGTGTCCATCAGAGGGAATATATTCTCATTTTTTTGCATTTGATTGAAATCAATTTGCAGGGAATATATTCCCTGCAATATTAAGAAATCACATTTCATTTCCATTTTATTTCCTACTATAATTACTTATTACTCAGCCACTTGTGATGATAGTTAAGTCAAATATATACTGCCTTCATTTCTTTGCATGTGATTGAAATCAATTTACAGGGAATATATTCCCTACAATATCAAGTCATCACATTTCATTTCCATTTTATTTGCTACTGTAATTACTTATTACTTAGCCACTTATGATGATAGTTTAGTCAAAGTTATACTGCCTTCATTTCCTTATGCAAGGATAAAATCGTCATTAACGTCACAAATATATTACAACCCCATAAAACCAGTACGGGAAATGAAAAATCAGACAAATGTGTAGTACTAATTAAAAAGATGACGAATAAAGGGAAAAAATGCAACCGGAGCGCTCACACGTGACGCGGTAGTGACATCTTTTCCCTCTCGAAGCAGTACTCGACAAACTTAAAATGCAAGTAAGGTGTCTCGGCAGTGGCATAGGATTTTCGATTGTCTTTGTCCCGTAAGAACCACAGTGCGAAGAGGTGGATCTTACCACCTTTTTGTACATGCCCAGAAGACAGTAGTTCCTTGACGCAATCGACGACTGACATTACATCCTTTTGATATGATCTTGCGATGGAGGCAAGATCAGTTCCAACACTGACCATTTGCTCAAGAGACACTGAAAACCTCATGGGCACCGTACGATTTCTTCGTCCTTCTCTGTTTCCTGTATTTGCATTTCCTTTTTTCCCCACTACGGTTCTCAGATATATTCATCGTCGAGGATGTTCAACCTTCATCTGGACTTGCACTGGAATCAGTCCCCTCCACGTTGATGGGCACCGCGTCGCCTCCGTACTCTCTGTCACTATCTGTGCTAAATTCAAGACCACGCTGTGACAACTTCGTTGGGGACACCGCATATTTTGTCGAGTCACCCGTGTAACCGAACAATTTCCCATATGTGTCATATATCTCACTGCAGTCAAAGTTTTTATACTTTGCATATTTTTGGTTTTCCTGAACTAACACGATAGGTAAACAGCTATTCATATATATTATAAATTTCCAACAACTATAACATAAATGTTTTCATTTTGTATTTTCATCTTCTTACAGGAAAAAAGTTGAATGTCGTAATGCTTGCAATTAAATTACTAGAGAAAACCTAAGCAAATGTAGAAGAGTGTCCTGCTAATGTGGTAATCACATTACATACGGATAGGAGTTGATGATACATTGAGGATAAACTAGTTTACTGCAGAACTAAGCAACGGTTAGATGCATACAATGACATCAAGTTATGATTGCAATCTTTGTCAACCTGAGAAATTTTTATAAACAAAGTCATTAACAAATCCAATTGCATTGGTTGTTCACTTCTGTTCACAAAGACGAACAGCCCATCAAAGACCCTGCACAGTTTAGCAAAGGACCTGTGCAATGGATATTTAACCTGAAGGTCTAACTGTAATTAAATAAAAGCAATGGACTTATTCAAATTGAGCCATATCCTACTGTAGCATAACAGCACTAAATTCTCGGTCCAAACAATTTTGGTTAGTGA